GGCGCTGTTGAAAGAGCGGGGAAGAGCAGATCGCAGTCCCCGAGGAGTTTGCGAACGGAGCCGGCAGACAAAATATTGCAGTTCCCTCCAAGGCTCTGATCCCGCAAAGTTTTGTCTACACGCTTAACTTTGATCCTGGAGCATTAGGCCATTGATTGCCGTGCGCTTGATGCACTGAATGGAACTATTCATATATATAAAGTTTAGCCCAGTCAGGAGGTTTCTTTTCGGGGGCAGGCTCTCGGTAGGCAGAGAAGGGCCTCGTGGCAAGGAGCATTGTGGTTGCTGCAGTTGCTTTCGCTTGGACGGGGAGTTGCGGAGAAGGACGCGGGGTGTTTTCTTCGAGCTCCTCCGACCCTTTCCAAGCAACCACTAGGCAGGGCAGAACGGCCCTGCTCGTTTCGGTGACCTTTTCCTTGAAAAGAAAACGTTGATCCCAGTTAATTCAGTCTCATCTTTCATACCCTCGTTAGAAAGGAGAAAGCAGCGGCTTTCTAGGGAGGGAAGTGCTGGTTGGATTTTGAGTTTGGGCAGCTCTGTCCCTTCCCCCTCCCGTCCTCCTGCCTTACACACGTGCACATGTGCACGCATAAATGCACATGCACCCCCCCACCCTTTTTCTCTTTTTATGTGCAAAGTTAACTTCCTAGGACCATGTTGCCAGACAGCTGAGCCCTGGAGATAACTCATAAACAGCAACTCTTCTCCAACCCAAATAGGACAGGGCTTGAATGTAGGCGAGCAAGAAGGGGCAGCTGTAAGGTGCTTTGCTCCAAACGAGTGTGATGACACCGGGAAAGAATTCTCTGAATCAGCCCCAGCCTGGCACTCGTGTAAATGAATGAATTTGTTAAAAAAAAAACCCCCAAAAGTGTTCTTAATAGAGAGAGAGAGAGGCTTTTCCTTTAAGAAAATGTCCTGTTTTATGCCTTCAGAGTGAAGCAACTCCCCAACAGAAAGTCCCTCCTGGTTGAAGACAGACTGTAACATTTAAATGCCAGATTTCTAGATTTTCACCCTTTTCTTTTCTATAGAAAGTGAAAAAAGGGAGTGCTCTGCTCTATTTGATACCACATTTGTTTTGCTAAACTGCCCCACAAAGTCAGGAGTCAACAGAGCCGTGAATTTTATTTGCATGTCATTAGATGCCTATAAAAAAAAGGAGTCTATGGCTTGACTTGATCTGTCTTGACTTTCGAACGGAGGGAGAAAGCAGACAGGCTGGGCGTGTGGTTAAGACACAGGATGGTGGGCTAGATGGGGGATCTAGGGTGTTGTTACTTCTCTGCCACAAGCTTCGCGTGTGACCTTGGACTGGTTTCACAGGGTCTGATCCAAAGCTCGCTGAAGCCGCGGAGAAGACTGTGACCGGCTTTGATCAAGTTGTGCAGACCCAGCCCAATGCTCATTGAAGTGAATGCCTGTCTTTGCATTGGCTCCATTTAGGCGAGTTGGATGGGGTCCTTCACATCAGTAGGCCAAAAGGCTCCAAAGAGATCTACCTCGGTCCACAGGGGGGGCGGTGGCGAACCTTGATTCCTTAATGAATGCAAAGCTCTTTGAGAGAATTACGCAGGGGATGCACTATAAATGCAGGGTATTACTTGTTCTGCCAGGGAGAATTTGGGTCTGCTGCCCTGGCATACAGTAAGCTCGTACTCCACTTGTAATATCTAGAACTAATTTGGGACCTGCTCCTGGTTGCTTGGAAGGCAATGGGAGTTGTATCGTGACATCAGAAGGAGTGGATAATACCCCTGAGTTTTATTTGTCCCCGCATGCCCTGGTGCATGTTGGAAGCTTTGTGTTTCAGAGCCAGGCACGATATTTTTAGAAGGATTACCGTCAATTCCTCAGCAGGCCTTTATTCAATATTTGCATGTCCAATCTAATTTTAGAACATAGCTTTCTGAATACCCCTCCTGGACCCAGATCCAGAAACACTCTCCAATTTAGATAGGCTGCTCCCACTGAAATCCATGCACTTCAGCCCGTGCTTGACATGCAGCTCCTGCTTCTGCACCTACCTACAGGCCCAGAGCCCCTGGATCCTAAAAGAGGGCACCATGCACCGGGGTGTGCAGTCCTGCTATATCCATCTGCAGAGGGCTGGGCCTGTGATTGGTTTCACTGACCACCAGGCCCCCTCAGGACAGTTTCATTTCAACCCCGCTTTGTACAGCAGTGTAATTATGCATTGTTTCCTGAGCAACGATGGTGTTGTCGGTACAGGAAGGCGCATCATGAAAGCTACAGTCCTCGACCAAAGGATTGTATCCTCTTCTGTGGATATGTGCTCTGAGACGACCCAGCCTGAGAATCACATGTAAACTCCAATGAGGGGAGAAGGTTTTAGGTCGCATGGTGAATTTAGTGATTTATTCTTCTGAACGGGCAGTTTAGCTGTTTCGTTGTTTTGAAAAAAGTGCTAATTATGCAAGCCTTCTCTCTTTTCTTTTTCTGGCCTTTCAACT